CCATAAACCTAGCTTAGAAGGCCATGTTTTCCGAACCTGTAGATACAAAAGGCTACATGGTAATGTTGGTTTACAAGAAGGATCTCTAACTCGTGAAGGTACACTGCCCATAACTGTTGTATGCTGTTATCAATGTAAAACCAGCACTTGAATGTTCCCATTGACGCCGTAACTCCAAATGTTGGTAGATGTTCGTAATCGTTGTTCGGATAAATCTTGGGAAGTTTTCAATACATTTCTTCAGCAAACCACACCTCTAAATGGTTAGCTGACATATTTAATCAATTTATTATTATGTAGTTGGCTTCTATTTTTGTGTTTTCTCATACTTTGCTCTCTTATAGGAGGGAAGATAGGTTTCTACTACAAGGAGCATGAAATACTTCCTCCCCTCCAGGTGAATTTTGGAATTTTAATTTCAACATATTAGTGCCAAAAATTGTAATTTTTTCTCCTCCCTTTCGAAAACGTCTGGATAGTTGTTCCACTTAGGGGTAACTCTGATGCACAATACCTACTTATGGAACACCCATTGAACATTTGGACACATTCATATTTTCAATTGCTATTGCAAAATGAACTTATTAAGGTTCAGACAGGTATTATTGTTATCTTATCTTTTGAGTTATTCGAATTTGTCATGCATCCAGTGGTTTCCACCGCTATATCCTTGAGAATTTCAATGGAGACACTATAGACAATCTTAGTGAACGTGAAGTGCAAGAATTTGATCCTCCTTCTGAGGTCAGTTGTCTTGGTTAAAGCATTTCATTTGCATAGCTTGTGAGGTCCTTGGCAAAAAATTAGTTTCTCTATGCTTAAAAGTTGCTTGCAGGTCCGAGCATTGATCGAGGGTCAGTTACTTTCTATGAGGGCTCATGCTGAAAGATTTGGAATGCCTTCTCCTCCAAAGCGGATAATAGCTACCGGTGGAGCATCTGCAAATTCTAGCATTCTAGGCTCAATTGCTTCCATTTTTGGGTGTAACGTGCATACGGTCCAGAGACCTGGTAAGCAGTCACCTCTTGTTTGTATTTACTTGCCAGTTTTAGGCTTATTGTCAGATACAGTCTAGTCTACCTGGCCTTGTCCTCATTGCAAATCTTGAATGCCCTTAGTCTGCACTTTTTTTACATACTCTATACCAATTTCTACCACCCTGCAATTAAGTTAAGAGTTACCCATGTTGTAACTGAGAAAAACTATCAAAATGCATGCTTTTACTGAGAAGTCTTATTTCTTTACGATCCTTATTGGAAAAAAAAACTTATGCTTGCTTGGCAGACTCCGCTTCACTGGGTGCTGCGCTGAGGGCTGCTCATGGTTGGTTATGCAACAAGAAAGGTAGTTTTGTGCCAATTTTCGTGCATGTACATGGACAAGTTGGATAAGACATCTCTCGGCTGCAAGCTTGCAGTGGATGCTGGAGACCAAGAACTTGTTGCCAAATATTCGTCACTGATGAAGAAGAGAATGGAAATCGAGAACCGCCTCGTCCAAAAGCTGTCCCGTTGGTAAGTCTTTTTTTTTTTGAAGTGCAAGGTACCTAGTGGAAATAGTTGACTGTTGTTGACAACAGTGCTGTCTCACATGGCATTGTGGTAGTATGTTGAGCCAAAAGTAAGCATTGTGGACGGTCATGTCTATCTAATTGCATCTGGAATAACTCCAATCTTTCTAATTTTTTAATCAGGTTCGCGCTATGTATGTGTTAATTATACGCCTTTGCATGCCTTTTTTTGGCGAAATATTTGAATGTCTTTGACATCGTGTGATGAAAAGGATGTACCTGCCAAGGAAGTATGTTGATAGCTGAGCACAAAGTTGAGAAGTAAATCTCTTCTTTAATTTGAATTGGTTTTGTATGTGAATCGGATTCTCCAAATTCAAGTTAAGACGGCCTAACATTTTCCTCTCCGAAACCAGCCTGCATTCCACGAATTTTCATAGCTTCTTATGCATCTTTCGGGTTCAGGAGGTAGGGGGGGTCAGGGAAGTCACTTGATTTTTGTCATATCATATATGCACAATCATGTCATGGTTAGTTCGTGCCATGTAAGAGTTCTTTTCAATCTATACACATTCGCACATGATAGTAGTATTCACATAGTATAGGAATACCACAAGCTTTTATTGGTCCATTTATTTGGCAGGGCTAATTAGTCAATCGGTTATAATTTGATCTCATTATGGTTAAATCCACAAGTACCCTTTTACATGTAAAAAGAAGGGCTCAGTGTAGAAAGATTTCTCGATATTGCAAACCTGAATTCAAATAAATAATTCACTACTCCCATATGTATCAAAGATATACAAGGAATTCAAAGGAAAAACCAACAGTAATGCGGGTTTGGTAGACAGGATGAAACACATGTACGAGGGATAAAAAAGTATAGGAATAAAAAATAGACACTTTTCTTGTTTTGTGTTTAATAGGATGGATGAAAAATAAAAATGATCAAATTTTTTTTGTACTTTGTAAGATGGAAAAAATATTTTATTTTTTTTTTAAAAAGAAAATACAAAAACATATTTCACCATTGTATTCATATATAAAATTAATGTATACATAATATATAATTAATAAATATACTATATGTATATATTAAAAAATATATTAATAAATAAAATACATTTTAACATAAATAATTAATTTTGTATTCACCTTTCTTCTAATTTTAAAAAGATTTATTTTGCAAAAAAAAATTCATTGATCACATTTCTATATTTCCTATTTTCTTTCCTTCTTTTCTTATTAAACATAATATTTTATTTATTTTTTAAACTTTTTGTTCTTCTAACTTTTCATCTTTCCAATTTTTCATCACCAGCACAAAACATGTGTGTCAATAACCACCTTCCTTAGCTTAATTATTGCCGTCACAAATCAATAAGAATACAATTGCAACAGAAATAGTGAAAAAAAAAAGGGATTCATGTCAACAATTCAAACCACATATATATGTAAACAGAAGCTTTTACCATTATACGAGCAAAGCACCAATCACAGCATCATTATTGTATCTTCAGAATATGTATCACAAGTGCTAAACAAACAAAACTCTTTCCAGAGTTTAGAGGACATATAGCCATGGTGAGAACACAGAAACAACACCCAACACTACATAATGCCAATGTACAGTAAGGAAACCAGATAAGAAAACAGCACACCCACAAATCAATACCCGTCTCCTTCGTCCGGGTCCTCACCCTCACCAGACTCTTCACCAACCTCCTCATAATCTTTTTCCAAAGCAGCAAGATCCTCACGAGCTTCACTGAACTCGCCTTCCTCCATCCCTTCACCCACATACCAGTGCACAAAGGCACGCTTACAATACATGAGATCAAACTTGTGGTCAATGCGATTGAACACCTCAGCAACACTGGTTGAGTTAGAAATCATGCACACAGCCCTCTGCACCTTTGCAAGGTCACCTCCAGGAACGACTGTTGGTGGCTGATAGTTGATACCACACTTGAATCCAGTTGGGCACCAGTCGACAAACTGGATAGTGCGCTTGGTCTTGATGGTGGCCACAGCTGCATTCACATCCTTTGGCACAACATCACCACGGAACATCAGGCAGCAAGCCATATATTTGCCATGGCGTGGGTCACACTTTGCCATCATAGACGAAGGCTCAAAAGCACTATTGGTGATCTCTGCCACAGAGAGTTGCTCATGATAGGCTTTCTCAGCTGAAATAACAGGAGCATATGAGGAAAGCATAAAATGGATCCGGGGGTAGGGCACAAGGTTGGTCTGAAATTCAGTCACATCGACATTCAAGGCTCCATCAAACCTCAAAGAAGCAGTAAGTGAAGAAATCACCTGCGGCAAAGATGGCATAAACAGATTACAAATTCATCAGTTACAAGTGTCGATGTTAATTTTTAAGGAAACACCCTGAAATATATTAAGAAGTGCTCATTCACCTGGGAGATAAGGCGGTTAAGATTGGTGTAAGTGGGGCGCTCAATGTCAAGGGAGCGCCTGCAGATATCATAAATGGCCTCGTTGTCAAGAAGCACAGCAACATCAGTATGCTCAAGAAGGGAATGGGTTGACAGGACACTGTTGTAGGGCTCCACAACAGATGTAGAAACCTGGGGTGAGGGATAAATGGTGAAACCAAGCTTTGATTTCTTGCCGTAGTCAACAGAAAGCCGCTCCAGCAGAAGTGACCCAAGGCCCGAACCAGTACCACCACCAACAGCATTGAAAACAAGAAAACCCTGAAGGCCAGTGCAGTTGTCAGCAAGCTTCCGGATGCGATCCAAGCAGAGATCAACAATCTCTTTCCCAACTAGGGTAAAACAAAAAGATAACAAAAACATAAGCATTTAACTCAAATCCAATGAATCAAATCATTAGCGTGAGACAAGAATGCTACTCACTGGTGTAGTGGCCACGGGCAAAGTTGTTGGCAGCATCTTCCTTGCCACTGATGAGTTGCTCAGGGTGGAAGAGCTGACGGTATGCTCCAGTCCTCACTTCGTCAATGACAGTGGGCTCAAGATCTACGAAAACAGCGCGAGGGACGTGCTTTCCAGCTCCAGTTTCGCTGAAAAAAGTGTTAAATGCATCATCACCTCCACCAACGGTTTTGTCACTCGGCATCTGGCCATCAGGCTGAAAACAAAGGAAAAACTTCAGAAATACTCCCAAACATATTCTAAAAAGTATCAACGTCTTCAGAAATGTGAGAATAAATTAAACCAGACCAAACCAAACATTTGTGGTCGGTTATATCAGTCTGTCTTCGCTATTTATTTCAATCATACACTACACTCATGTAAATTAAATATTTTTATATATTTTCTTATTATTTTGTTTAGTGTTAATTTCAGTCTACCCTTATTTTTAGTACCATTAAAAAAATTCTATCACTAAATTGAACTGGTGCCTCTATTGGCAGAAACGTGAGAATAAACAAAAATATTTCAAACAAAGAGAGGAACCAAAATATGAAAAAATAAGAATGCATTTAACCAATGAGCTAAACATTAAAAAACACTATATCCATACAAAACCATACCACAATTTGATTACTTACATTATATCAAAGGGATTTCAAACAAATTACAACGCTAAATCTGTACTAATAACAAGCAACATCAATTTCATATAGTTTAACTTACAAATTCGCTAGGTCCCCAAGTAAATTAAGCTACAGTCCAGATCAAAAGCATCAATTTCACAATAACAACGAATGAGAATGTGGTTTTGCTGATCATGAAGAAACTATGAAAACATACATGAATGAAAATCTACGTAATACATCTTCATGTTCTACATATGTGTACGCCACAAAGCTAGAGATCCAGAATGAACATAAGTAACTATGAAAAATTAAGGCATTGCCACAGACATAAAATTCTTCTGAAAATAGGAATGTTGATCATAATTAACAAATTATGCAACCATGAAATGCATACTTCGATGTATTGGTCGCTACATTTCATCCATAATCATATTGATACACCAGTTCTATCAATATTGCCAACAAATTTTCACAAAAGCACAATTATATCAACAATTGACACAGATCTAATGAATAACCCAAAAGAAAGGCCAAATCACAACAAAATTTCGACATAACCACGAAAATTGAAGGAAATAAGCAACGCTATTTATTTTTTCATGAAACATCTCACAAAATTCGCAATAACAAACATATTATCGACAAATAAAGCATTACAGATAGCTCATTTCGTCATTTTCAACCACCAAACAAATAATAGAGGACATAGATATATATATATATATATATATATATATATATATATATATATATATATATATATATACATATGGAGAGAGAGAGAGATCTTACATGAATGCCATGCTCAAGGCAGTAAAGTTCCCAGCAGGCATTGCCGACCTGAATACCAGCTTGACCGATGTGAATCGAAATGCACTCCCTCATTTTCACGAAATCGAAGAAAAAAAAAATCAACAACAGACAATTATAAATACTAAAGATCGAAAGAGAGCCAAAAAGCCAATGACAGCCACGAACGGCGTTTATGAAGACGCCTTTCCGATGATAAGCTTTCCAGTTCTCACTGTGATGTTTTTTATACAGAGAAAAAGGCCTCAAAAAGAAGAAGAAATATATAGGCCACATTGACCAGGGTCAACTAACCATGGTTACCGCTGGGTCCCAGTTAGGCATGAACAATTATTATTGTTGCCAGCCTGGTACGCACTATTTGAAAATAAAACAATTTTTCAAAAAAAAAAAAACGCTTGAATTAAAGTGTATTAAATATAATTTGAAAACAAATTTACATTCCAAAAAAAAAATTCGCATAATTCAAATTTTAAATAAGAGATTTACGGACAAATGTGTATATATATATTAACAAATATGCATGAATCAAAGTGCATTAAAGATAATAGATTTTGAATTAAATAACCCTAAAATGAGCATTTATGTCTTTGTAACTTAGTTGTGTATTTTTTTCTAAAACATTTTATTTTTTATAATTTTTGTCAAATAAATCTAATTAGATATACCGACTTCCAAAGAACACATAATTGTAAGGTGTACAATTGGACGAGTCCATAAGTTAATCTGAATTCTTTTCAGGTTTGAGTTCAACTCAAAATTGAATTTAATTTTGAGTATTATCCACGTTTAATTATGGGAATTTGTATTTTACACGAGATAAGTTGAAATTGAATTCATTTCATGTCTAATTAGAGTATTTTTAGTTTTAAGTATAATATTTAAAATTTTAGGGGTTTATAAGTATTACATATTTATAAATTTTAGGAAATCTAAGTATAATTTAGGGAGAATTACATCTAAACTCTATGAGATTTGTCACTTAATCACTCAAACTCTCTGACATTTAAAATATTACACACAGACCTCTGAAGTTTGTACTCGCGTAATACTTTAAACCCTTGTTATAATTATATCAGTTAATAAATTATACATAGGCCCTCTGAAGTTTGTAAGTATATAATACTTACACCCTTTAAGTTTAAAATATTATACTTAGACCAAAAATATTCCAATGAAAGATAAAATGTCAAATATTTTAAATTTTATAACCAAAATTCATATTCTATTGTATCATTTATTAAAAAAATTAAAAATAAAAATTCAATTTTTTCTTAAAAAATGTAATCAGTATAAAATTATATTTATCTATTGAAATTTAATTTGGTCGTTTAAACGACCAAATTAAAAATATCAAACTACCTCAATTAAAGCTAAAAGATATTGTGTTCGATATAGTTTGACCTATTGTTTAATTTTTTTAGTTTTATTCTAATAGATAGTATAATTATATACTAACTATGATTTTTTTTTAAAAATTAGATTTTTATTTTTGATTTTATTTCAATAAGTGATATAATAGAACATGAATTTTGAATGTAAAATTCATGTTCTATTATGAATAACTTAGACCCGTTGTTTAATTTTTTAGTTTTATTCTAATAAATAATATAATTATATACTAACTATGATTTTTTTTTAAAAAAATTAGATTTTTATTTTTGATTTTATTTCAATAAATAATATAATAGAACATGAATTTTGGATGTAAAATTCATGTTCTATTATGAATAACTTAGGCTCATTGTTTGATTTTTTAGTTTTATTCTAATAAATAGTATAATTGTATACTAATTATGATTTTTTAAGAAAAAATTAAAATTTTATTTCAATAAATGATACAATAAAACATAAATTTTTGCTATAAAATTTAAAATATTTGATATTCTATCTTTGATTGGAGTATTTTTAGTATAAATAAAATATTTTAAACTTAAGGTGTCTGAGTATTATATACTTACAAACTTTAGGGGGTCTAAATATAATTTATTAACTGATATATTTATAGCAAGGGTCTAAATGTTATGCGCGTACAAAGCTCAGGGAGTCTGTGTGTAATATTTTAAATGTCAAAGAATCTGAGTGATTAAGTGACAAACTTCAGTAAGACTGTGCGTAATTCTCCCTATAATTTACTAATGGATGCAAGATCTTAGTGTTAGAGTACAAACTTCAAGGGATTAATATGTAATATTTCAAATGTTAAGAAATTTAAGTGATTAAGTAATAAATTTCAAAGAATCGGAGTATAATTCTTTTTTTTTTTGTAACTCAAATTTAGATCGAAGTTTGGATTTTGATCGGAAATGATCTCACTTTTGATAATTCCTTGAAACTTCCATGTTCTTGGCAAGTAAGCAGGTTTCTTGGACCGCAAATGCTCATGAATAAATGTTTGAGACAATGGGTTTGTTTGAATGAATTTTGGGAAGGGGTTTGGATTAAATTTTTCAAATTTTTTCAAATTTAAATTCCTCTTTACAAATATGTGATTTAATATTTAATTCGGTTTATACCTATATTTAGTATGTAACACATATATATTTAGGATTTGTGAATATATTATAGTTATTAATAATTATTTATCTTATAAATGACTATTTTATCCTAAATCTAATCAATTCAATTCAATTCATACACATTTATTTTTTGCATTCTTACTCTTTAACCCATCTTCTCAAACCTATTTCCTCCCTAAGTTTGAAGGAATCCATGATTATGGGTTTAATCTTTGGATCAACTATAAATCAAGTTTAAAAATTCAAGATTAAATTTTCAATTCAAACATGAAATTTAAAAATCTTTTAAATTATTTTTTTCAAATTCATCTCGTTACACCCCCCATATCTTCTTACTAAACAGTGTTAGGATTGATTTTGCTATCCCACCAACCAACTCTCCTGCTGCAAATTAATATCACTGGTGAGACGTGGAGTAGAGGATGGCCACTTATCCTTGCTCAGCCACGTGCTATTAAAGACCTTTCTCCAAAAGTTGTCTTCTTTTTTAGAGCATATTCAAGAAAATAATTAAAACTTTAAAATAACTAAGTGTCGGTAACATTACGCTTTTCACATTAATAGATCGCCCAAAATTTATTTAATATTATAGTTAGGATATTAACAAGGGATCCAATAGATATAAATGAGTCCCTTTTGAATTCACATAGATGCATTATCAAAGAAGAAAATAGAAAAAAAAAAAGAATAAATTGGAACATAATTGATGACCTAGTACGTTGTTACGATTATAATAACTGTGAGTCTTAATATTTAATGAAGTCCCCATCAAGGCAATGGTCATAATATAATAGGTTTTTAAATTAAGTACAAATAACATTATTGATAAAAAAAATTAATCAAAATCTCATTGAATAGCTTTCGTTGTGTTTGATTTTGCTCCATATGCCACATATTTATGAAATTAATAACATGTTAAATGTTTTGCTCAAATCAACCATTTTTCAATTTGTCCGTGACATTTTTGCATAGAATTCATGCTAATCTTATTGTATCGTTCTAATTTTATCGCATGTCCCCAAAAGAACAAATCAACCAAGACACAATACCAAATTCACTTCTTGTGGTCCTGCAAACTTCAGTCGTTCTTGCTATACTGTGTCATGCATGCATTTTTTTAGTGAAACCCAATCGTCAACACTTTAGCCTCCAGCAGTGACATATGAAGTATTGGCACATGACATTCCACCATATAGGATATGTTTGGATACTCGGAGTGGATTGGATAGGATATAAAAACATATAACCTTGCCTATTCAAGCCAAACCCGGCCAAGCTCACATTTGAATTGGATATGTATCCAATCCAATGTTTGGTAAACTAATTTTCATGTCTGTGGGATCCATTGACAAAGATGATTTAAAAATATTAAAATAATATGGTTTGACTATTATACCCCTAAACCAATTTTCATTACCACTGAATTTTTGGGCTGAGAGTAAACAAAGAAGTAAAACCCACCAATTGGGATTCCAAATCCAAAACCAAGGAGTCCCAGAAAAGTGCTCAAGAAGTCCATGTGTCCTCAACTCCGAGAATCAATGCAAATCAATGGAAAACTCTGGAAATTGAAAAGAAAAGAATTTGTTTTCCAAGAGGACACTGGCGAGAGAATGAGAGATAGAGAGAGAAGAAAAACCAACACTCCCTAAATTCACCAGAACACCATCCAAGAAGAATAAATCAAATCAACCAAACACTCCCCCAAATCCACCATACCCAGCAGCCCATCCCCAACCAGTAAGAAAAATTAAAATCAGATCCCACCCCACCCCTCTGTTTCACCAGAACACCAGCGTACCGCCGCACCCCTTCGTTGCCTGGTTGCCTCAAAGACTGACCATCGTCGTCAATAGACCCCTTCTATCAACAATGGTAAGAATCGAACACGAATAAAAATTATATAATATTTTGTCATAAGTATATTTTGATGATTAATATTTAATTACGAGTAATGATATGAGACCTGAATCTGAATGATGAATATTTTTATATTCAAAGATAATTTTATAGAGAATGATTACAAGGAGAATTGTTTTATTTAAAGTGTAAAAAATTAAATAAAAATGTTGACATGTGATCTGATTTTATTATTTTTAGTACATTAACACATATGGAATTAATCGGGGTGACAAACATGTGACATAAAATTATTGTTATAAAATAATAAGAATAAGGATGAAATAAAATGTATTAGTATATATAAGGAGTGGTTAAGGGTCCGAGAGACGAATTTAATAGATTGTCAATAATTTGAATATATGTATATATATGTTTATGTATAACTAAATATACAAAAAAAAAAAAAAAATGGGTACATACATATAATTGTACATACAAACCTATATAAAAGAGGTCTTGCACTTGGCTATTTCGGCTAGATCAAGAGCCAAGAGGAGAAGAAGAAAAAAAAAGAGGAAGGAAAGGAAAAAATAGGAAAGAAAAGAAAGAGAAGAAAACAAAGAAAAATAAACAAGACTTTTCACTCACTTGGAAAATTTTGGTTAAGGCAAGAATGAAAAAAGTGAAGCTTAATGGTGGGTTAAAGGTGGAAGA